ATGAATGTCATTCAAAAGGAAAAGCTGTATGCCTTTAGGAGAGAATCTCAAGAAACCAGATGCAGGCAGTTGTACCGATTTTAGGTGCAGAGCAATTTTCTTCATCAAGGTTTTTGCGATCAAAATTATTGCCATCGTGCTTTTCTGCCATGCTGAAGTCTCAAGACACAGCACCTTGCTGCACTGTGTGTGTCTGTACTATACGTGAAGACAATGGAAGCCCTGTTGTGCAAAACCGTTCGGTTTTGAAGTCAGCCACAAGTATAAAGCATTTGCTACTTTTTGTACAAGCTGATGCTAAACAGTAAACGAGAAACATTTTATTCATAAAAATTCAAGCAAATGCTTATTCTTAATGCTTTTACTTTTCTCAGTAAATACTTTTGCTGTTTGCTTGAACTTCATAGCATTTGCTAGTTTTTATTCATACGACCCAATGTCTTCTGTAGTCTGCTGCCTGTGTAACAATATGATAATGCTAATTTGCGCATTCTAAAAAAGAACCCCGCAAGTTGATATTAAACAGGCGCTACGGTGTCTTTTAATGGACAAGACATTTGGTTTAAAGGCGTGGAAGAATTATGAAAATGACGTCAAAATGCAATTCGCCCCAAGTACAATTGACCATTTTAGGGAGGAACTTGCACAAGACCGAGTTAGGCTGAGTGACAACGTCTGAGAGTGCATTAGTATAAGACATCTCCGGTAACCAGGTCGAAGATAATATGGAGTTGTATTATGGAGCTAAAACTCTGGGCCAATCAAATGAGAGACTGGCTCGGTAATCAAATGAGAGATTGGCTCTGATAGACAAACATGTCCCTATTCCACCTCTTCAGGTAAGAGGCAAATGGTTTGTTGTGTATTTGTACGCAAGTGTGAGAGGCTGAGAGCATAGTTGTCTATGTGGGTTTGGGTCAGCAGTATAATACTGAGTGGTCTGGAATCTTACGTCTGGAACCAGTTGAGCGAATTCACTGAGGGTCATTTTGTGGTAAGTCTTCCATGGATTGCGAAGCTCAGCCATGGACACTGAGATCTGAAAGAGGCAGGGCAGTAAAAACATCAACCATGAGTTACGGATCTAAATCAGTTTTCTCACTGATTGAACTAACTGAACTATATTGCAGTGTTATGTTAACGTGGTTTAACAGTTTAAATTAGATGGTAAATTTGGATTTCCTTGATAGCTTGTTTTAAATTGGACTGGCCCCTTAAGCCAGATTTTTAAAACCTTTTCACTAATATGAAATTGTCATTCTCGATTTGCGTCCATTCCGTACAGCCCTTACTCGGTTACAAAAGTTATACCTTAGCCAGCTCTATCTCGAAGGCCAGTATCTCCTTCATCTTTCGCTCAGTCTGCACCAGGAAGTCACCCGCGATAGACAGGCCCTTATCCCAGGCCAGCAGACTGGCAAGGGTCACACCGAACTTTACATAAGCTGCAAGGAGATCCTGCGAGAAGGGGGAAGGAAGGGATAGTAATGCCGGTACATGTATTGTGATTGGGCATGAAGCAAGGCCGTCTGGTTACGTTTTCCGGGTTTCTTGCTCTCGAGTTTTTCATAATTCCGATTATAAAAGGGTAGATTAGCTTTTACTTTTTTAAAGTTCTTTCGCACCCGCAGTTATTGACGTAAAATAATGATGAAAGTCGGTTTTACGATACTTTTTGTTTTCCATATTAAAAACATGTCACGGAGAGTCTCGCATACGCAAATTCACTGAACTAGTTTGAGCCACAGGCTGGACGGGGGAGAGGGCGCCATTTTCCAAGCAACGGGGGCTCCTTTGGTTGGATTGCACGTCGCTGGTTCACGAAAGATCATGAAATACACGCGTTACGGTTGCGTCGACACAACGGCGTATCCAGCTTTTGGTAAGCTCGGGGGACAAATGCGATGATATTCGGGGAGAAAAGTAAAGGTCGTGCAGTCCCGACGATATTGCTTTTATTTGCCGCTGTTGTTTTCTTAGAGTTTGGTGCTATATCGTTTGATAGGTATATCTACTGATTACTTTCATTCCAACCCACCTACGAAGTATCATTTGTAAAAACTCTGTCAGTGGGGTAAGTTGCCCCTGCCCCCCCCACTAGATATACGCCACTGCGTGGACACCTGCAAAATGAACACTCCCGACCAACGTGGCTTCGTTTAACCGATGAGGGGGTGCTTCTGCTCAAGGTGGACGAATAACTTTCACTGCATCTTCATATCAATCTGACGATTACCTGCAAAACTGACAAGTGGTACAGCCATTTCCACTGTTTTTGTTCTCGTTTAACTTCTCAGCATAAATTTGCCGAGCTGTGCTTTCATCTTCAGTTTTCCACAGAATCGTGCCCAGCACACATTATCTAAACATGCTAGTTAACGGCTGTTTCCTTCCTAGATTCCATGTGAACACAAAGACACATGAACCCTGCGCTTAATGTTTCAGCATCATCAAACTTACATCGTGGCCTCCAAGGTATAACTCCCTTGCTCCCAACCACAATCCCGACTGTACAAACTGGAAAGAGAAGAGAGAGCACTTCAATCGTTTAAACCAAATTAAAAAAATGACGCAACAGTGTGAAACGTTATAAAAACGGTATTATGTAAACTTATGTGTGGCGTATAAGTTATTTCCTCCGACAAACAGTGACAACAGAGGTTGCTGGTAAATATTGCAGAGATCTGAACAAAATCTTGTAATTTACGCATCATTTTTGTTTAACCCGATAATGTTACCTCGTTCGTTTTGTTCATAATGAAACAATAACCTCCCGTGATGACAGTTTTTTTTTTTTTTTGGTAAAAGGATCACACGAAAACAGCCTTAATGATTCCTAATTGGTTTCGCTTATTAATTTGCATAAATGTGGATGTGTCTGCTAACTTCAGCCAGAAGTTAGGTTTATTCTGCAGACAATCTTTTGATGATTGATGAAGCTAAGGGAAAGCATAACTTTAAAGGAAAGTGATACTGTCTGAGGCATAAAAGTATGCAATCGCATCGAGAATGAAGGAACCAGTAAGAATTTTATTTTTTACATGTCTGGTAGCAATAATTTGCTTTATATTGCTCGGCCAAGACAAATAAGCATTTTGTCTGTGGTTTATGACATTTTGTGTTTGTCTCTTTTGTAAATGTTGATGTAGTGCAACAGTCTGGATAAAATCCTTAAGTCAATACAGTGAAAAAAAAGCTAAATACAATGAATTGTAACGAGCTATATTCAGTTTGTATGTTTCTGGTTAATTAACATTGCAAAACATGCAAAACATGCAAAACGCTAAAACAAAATTTATTTGATACACACTGCAAGGATAGCGACATCAGATATGACAGATATTCTGACTGATTCCCTTTGAAAGTCTACAAAATATGTTGACTAATGCCTCGTCGACTATATATATGAAAAAATCATACGAAACCTTTCAGGTATTTTTCCGCAGAATTTTAAGGAAAAACACTGAGCTGAGTTTGTAAAAGCTGTGTTAACATAAGCGGGTCTGTTTTATAGAAAGTCTGCTAGTTATTTTTTACTCATAGCACTTCTGTTTGTGTGCAGTTCCCCACAGATTTGTGCACTTTGCTGCTATCGGGAGCTGCTCCCCAACTGTCACTGTTCTTAAAATTGATCTAATGCCTTTAATAATGTTATTGGAAAAACACCGATGTTCGATCAACCTGATTATGAGATGATTCTAATATTTCAGTTCTTGCACTGTTTAATTTACCCATAGTTACAGATGCATGTACAGTTTGAAATTAAACTGATAGTAACTGATAAAGGTTAGGTTCAAACATTAAAGCAGCAGGGCTAATTATCTTTCTTTTTTAAGCAGTTTAGTCTTTTGTTAAACTTACTTTTCTGCCCCTTGAGTTCCTATTACATACGGTCCTTTTCTGGTAAACTACCCTCCAAAATTTTTTTTTCATTATCGAGTACAACAAAATCCATGGAACCAAAATCCTATTCGTACAGTTTTCACCTTTCCTTGCATGTCATTGGTATATAATTATCATTCTTTTAGGGGAGGCTTTCAAAGTATCTCCTAAATATTCACGAAGTGACATTTTTGGCGCTTTATGTAAAGTTAGTACTGATGATTTTCCTTCTAACAGACAACGTCATATCATAATTTAACAATCCAACTTTATTATTATATGAAATCCGAGTCAATAAAAGTTAGTATTGTGTAGGGAAATGAAGGATCTATGCAAGGCCTAAGTTCAAACGTGTTTTTCTTGAAATGTCAAAAACTGAGATAGGTCAGATCGTGGTATGACCGACAAATTGGAATTACTGTGTACAGGATTTATATTTTGATTACATGTAAATTCCTTTTTTGCATTATTTTTTAAAGGTTGATAGAAAGCAAAAGGAACCTCAATGATATGACGAGATGAGTTCTTGTCGTCAATGGTGACTCCCATGTCGAACAGCGGGCTTCCGGTGATCTTTTGCACAGCAATAAGCGTGGTCAGGAACTGTGGATTGTTGGTGGTGAACTCCAATTTCAGGCTTGGGAGTAGACTCCATCCACCAATAACTTCAATGAGCTGTGCGGGTGTTGGCGGAATACGAGCACTCTGTGAATTTTAGTCTCAGGTCCGATGGGATGATAGAATTTGAGGTTAAGTGTATAAGCAAAGATTAATTAAGAAGCATGGCCTGGTAAGGAAGCATGTAGGATATAGGAGGCCCGAATCCAATAAAGGTAAATTGCGCTTTCTACTGGGGAAAGAATTTAAAGGGTATCCTCCCCGAGCTTAAGTGCACCCCCAATCAGCGAAAAGAAAGATAAGTGGTTACAAGCGGGTCCTTGCAAGGGTTCTGTGTGTACGCAAAGACCATACAATGCCGGAGTAAATTAATACGCGTGCTCCGCGGATATACGTACTTGCGCGTCCCACAGCGCGCCTATGCAGTGAGTACCCCCCTCCCAAAACCCCTCTTTTGTTCCACTCGGAGCGGACTCGGTTTAGTATAGCATTGTCAATAGAGGGGGCTCCATTTGATATTGATAATTAGGATGCAAATAATTAGATAACTGGTGAACTTGGAATTGCAGATTTTGTGATCCATATGATCTCGACCAAATGGCAGTGATTCCATTTACTTCCAAGAGGTGTGCGAATGAAGTTGATTTCTGAGCATATTTTGCAGCCATGCCCCGTGGTCTGGGACTATTGGTATACCAGCCAAGATCTCCCTCCGAATTTCCAGTCCCCCCCCCAAAAAAAAAGAAAAAGGAAATGAGCGGCTAGAAATGTTCATGAAAAAAATCCAGCAGGACGTATGTGACCTACTAATCCTTCCTTTGGATTGTAACGGTGCCAGCGGAACAATCGGTACCACCCCCCTTCCCCATTTTTCAATTTCTTCCTTCCTTTTGGTGAAAATACCTTAACCCATCCCCGTTTTTGTTTGCAAAACGTTATTTAACATCTTTAAATAAAGCTTTAGTAAGTTTAAACGCACCATGAAAACATGCCCCGCTCGTATCTTTGGGTTAATCTCCATTGATCGACGCCTCCCCAACCCCGTGAATGCTGCCCCTCCCCCACTTTGTACGTAGTGGATCTGCCACCGTCTATCAGTCATTATTGTACCTTAAGTAAAGGCTGTGCACCGGCTTTTTCCATCCCTTGGAGATCCATACACGCAGCGTAGTAATCCCGAGCCTTCTGTAGAGCGCTGTACATGGGGCTGTCGGCCTCCAGAATCTCCACATTTATAGAAGGAGGTAAGTTTTGGGGGGAAAAGCGAGAGAGATCGATCAAGGGAAGTCGCAGAAAGCAGGTTATTTCAACACTTACAATTATTTTGTAAGCCTTGAGTCAGTTGCTCCAGCCCTCCCAATTGGACACGTCACTGGAAATTAGACCCATTTTGCAGAAACTTACTGTTTTGACGGTTTTTAGGTTGGCGTGATACAATCCCCCGAAGCTCTTGCTGATGCTCGAGTCCCAGGGCGGTATCTGCGCTTTGTCCATCCAACCCCCGCACGCGTACCGATAGAAGTCCTGGCAAGGGTCAGCTGTCTGGTCGAGGGCACTCAAGATCACGCCGCTGTCGATTACGCATTCTGGATCCAGGCAGATCGGTCCTGGAGAAACCTGAAAGAGAGTGCGAACAGAGCAAGAGAAATATTTTTCAGGATACTGCAAAGGAGAAAGTCCCTTTTCGTATTGCTAAAGGTCAGGAGCCGAATGTCGTTAGTCTATAACATTAGTGATGTAAGCAGCAAATAAAAATTTTTTCACGTTGAAGATATATACTGATTTCTGAAACTTCAGGATTTCGTTGATTAGTCTGAAAAGATAGCAGGGCTGTATTGTCTCAGAAAGTATAGGCCTGGGCCGTTTTCCAATACTCGACTTGGGCTCCGTCTCAGGCTTCAACTGTTTGTTTACTTCCTGACTTTGTGGTTACTAGTGCAATGGTCTGACAGTGCCACAAAACTTCAAGTAAGATGCAAAAGAGCCAAACATTACACTACTTCAATTTAAGTTAAACGCTTCAGGCCCACAATCGGGAATTGGTTTCCTACACGAAGCCTGAGACGGAGACGAAGTTGAGTATTGGAAAACGGCCCTACTCTCTCGGGCTCGACAAGTCGATATATATTGCTGCATTATTTTGAACAGGGTATCGGCTATATCGGCAACGAGCCTTATCTTTCCACGATGCACACGAATCAGATTCGGCAAATCTTTCAACATGCGTCTCAATTGACCTGAGCTGACACCCACGTTGTAAGTTTTGTCATCAATCCACTGCCTCACATCGGCCCAAACTGTTCACTTCAAGAGGTGATTGTCTCAGTAGGAAACCAGTACAGTTTGAAAGGCTAAAAACCTGTTGTGTTTGTGTGAATCTGAACCTATTTTGAAGCTCATGTGTTGAGGTTTTGAGCCCGTTTTGAGTCTGTTTCAAATGTCACCTAATTTAACTCACAAACGATCTGTTGCCAGATGTTATACTGCTACATGGTGCATCTATACACAACTGTTTTCCATATCGTTACTTCGCACTCTGCAGGGCATTTGGCAGCATTACAGTTCCCGAAGCTTGGAGGGCGTTTTCTCTCATTTTATTCTCAGTGCAATGAAACAAATATTAGTCAAAAATGTTTTAAATTAGGAAGAGTTTTCTCAGTGTGTAAACATTGTCGTTAATCCATGCAAATAAGTGGAGGTGGGGAGCACCCGATTCCTAAAATTGTAGGCCTACGACTGTCTGGGGGAAGCAGTATTTCATCCTATACCTTCGATATTTAGACCCATGGGCGTAAATCAAGTCCGTTTGAAAGCACAGCCAACGGAACCACATTTTGCGGGAGGGGGGTGTAAAAATATATATGTTTCATTTTGCTTTTGTTCGTTATTTGTTGTTTTGACATTGCATTATGTAACCTTTTATGGCATTTCTGCGGAGGGAGATACATTCGGGGCTTTTTAGACCCGATTGGGAGGCAAGGAATTGAAAAAGCCCCCAAAAATAGCCTCGCGTGAAAGTTCCAAACCAGAAAAACTCTTTTTGCTTTGACGCGTGGCACACGGTTGCACCCTTGGATCCACCAGTGAAATTTAGCCATAGGGGTTAAGATTTTACTTTAAAAAGATGCAATCCTTTTCGAGTTATGAGTTAAAAAAGGGCCGACCAGCCAGTCGGGTTTTCCTTTGAATGTAGCGATTGGACGCCTAAACACAAGCAACCACAAATTCACAACTTCACAAAAGTGGTAAAATAAGAGACATCGTTTGGGGCTTCACCCAATGTATCAAATGGACTAAAATTAGAGGAGGAAGTTTACTGATTAATTAGCAAATCTTTCTTCTCCAAGCTACTGCTTTTTAAAAAAACGTAGCACAGACCTTACCCGAGACTTTGATGCCTCATCTTTTTTGTGCCTCATCAAAGTTGCAATTACCAATCAGACTATTAAAAACCGTGAGATAGAAATTCTACCAGCATCTGTTAACCACAGGAAATTGGAAAGTTGAATTGCTAGTTTGCACATAAACAGCTCATTTTAGAAAGGTTAATTCCTTCCAACAAACGTTTCATTTTGACAGGCATATATTCAGTTATCTCAAAAAGCTGGGAATTGACATTTTGATGGAAGGTGGTTTCCTCATTGACTTACATTCATGGTATTAAGTATTTGAGACGGATTCATACGAAATATTACTCATGCAATTGTGCAAGTATATATAGGTATTTCAGGTCAAATATCCACACTTGTACAGTTATCATCAACAAAGACAGATCATATGTCAAGAATATGACGTGGAGTCCAAATAGGTCATTCAGGTTTCCACTAGGTATCACAATATACAAATAGGTAAATCAAATGTCTACTGGATGGGTCAATATGGGTCATATTCTTGACATATACGGTATACTTTCACCAAAAAAACCGTGGTAGATATTTTTAAAACCAATTGTAACTAAGGCCTATTTCATTTCTTTACATCAGTCTTTGAAAGGCCTTCCACATGAGGTAAATACTATCCATTTCAAAAATTATTCCAAAATTACATTTAAATGAAATTTTACACAGGCATCGTACAGTCGCTGCATTTCAGCTTCGGGAATCTTCTGGTACGGCATGTTGTGCTCAACTGCTAGAGTCTTCAACACAATAGCTACCTAACATTTGCTTGGGATATTTGAATGACCAATGTATTTGGTGCACCTTCACGCACCAGTGGTCACTTGGTAACACAACAATTTTCTCTATGTGGATATTTAATTTCACCTTTGACATTTGAATTATCTATTGTGACACTGACGTGGTTAGGTGGATATTTTGGTTGGCCTTATTGACATTTGAAATACCCAATTTGACATTTCGCTTAACACTGTGGACATATGACCTGAAAAACCCATATCGGAGTGCAGTGAATTAACCACTCATTCAGGAATACACATGGGCACAGAATTCCTGCCTTTGGCTTATATGGCATGGGATTTTTTAATAGTCAAATCCATTTTGATGTAAAAATGTCAACTACTGAATTCAGTGATATTCAAAGTGGAGTGGTCCACGTCCGGGGTCGTCCATTATCTTGAGTCTGTTCCTGGTCGTAGTTACAATGTTTAGATCTATTATTTGTTCCGTTCTAGTAATTCCATGCATTATTTTTTTATATGATCTTAACCACCATATTTGATTAATTTAATTATTTGATCTGCTTGCCTATCATCACCTAATTCTGTCACTTTGTTCGTCTTTTTTCAACTGATGGGAGTCAGGTAGGCGTATTGGTTCTTTTCTCGCCTTCCACCTCCATGGTTGGGGTTCGATTCCCGGCTCGGTCAACATGTGGATTGGGTTTTCAGTCCCTACCTGATTCCGTGGGTTTTACCCAGAATATTCCTCTGGGGTTTTCCTCCCACCTCTAAAACTGTAACTGCTTCTCATTGTCTCCTCTCTACGGGTTTCTTCAGACTCGCGAGCTGCAGTTCCTAGGGCAGTTCCTAGGGCACCTTTTAGTAATCCTTGGTGTCGTTACCAGAAATAAATCAATAATAATAGGAATAATAATAATGATAATGCTGTTAATTACCGAGAATGGGTCATTTGGGAGACATCCCCTAAAGAAAATGCAAAACATGTACTGTCCCATAAATTAAATATTCCCTAATCTGATCTGAACCAAACTTTGTAGGTCTATGTTGTATGGACAGTGAAATTCGGCCTTCTTCTGGTAGTTGGGGCATTAGGGAGACATTGAAATGTCTCTCTAATGACCGATGTCTCCCTAAGGTCGAAAATTTACCACAAAATGTCTCCCTAATGACCCATTTGTAACAATAGTAATAACTTCATGCATTAATTTTGACAATCAAATACCAAGACTTACAGCATGTTTGGGATAATGACTTGCAGGCTGTATTGGTGCACCACACTAAAATGAGTAAATAGCTGCCCAAAATCACCCTGCAGGCTTTGACCTTTCATTTATCAGCTGCTAAATATTGATGTCGAATTGGTGAACCGTTTCATCGACGTTCGATTTGGTTTGAAAATATTTGCACGACTTATTTGTTTCCCTTCTACTTCTTATCTCCAGTGTGCCTTTGAGTATGTGCTTGCCATGTTTTGAACAGAAATATTTTACTCGACACGTTATTTCCTCACAATTTTTATTGCCAAGATAAAGTCCTGAAGCAAAAGTACACGTGTATGAATCAAGACGCAAATATTGCGACATTTCTAGAAGAATCTATCGCTGCAGACAACGCGCAAATCTAGTCATACTGGCTTGACGATGAATGTAAAACATCAAAAAAATGATCACCTTAAAATCCGTAAATTTGCCTTTTTGAGTGTTTTCATAAGAAGTAAATGCAGATGGCTTCAATAACTACAATCCCCCTTCATAATGTCTAATATGGCGTACCGGTATATCTCAAATCATACGAACCCGAACACCTGTTGGTATCACCAATGATATAAGGCATAATAAAGCCGAAAGGTCGTATAATATTGTCTATTTTATCAAGCGTTGAGTAAATTAACATCCGGACGCATATGATTTCTATATCGATTTTTTTTTTTCAAATTACATATAAATAGCTCTCTGCAGTACTTTGCAGGCAGACCGGCCAGGGAAGGATGCTGCAGTTTGGAAACAAGGAAATTAATGTTTGGCAAACTACATGACCCAAGCAACCTGCAATAGTTTACAGTAAAACACAAACCAATAGGCTCTGAGTATTACGGTAATTACAGAAGGGATTATTTTAGGAATCATGGAAAATCGTTGCATTCCTGTAATAATGATCAGTGAACGCATGGTCAGTAAAAAATCCTCATGATGTGTGACTTTCCATGACATTTTTCTGAAGTTCAAAATGTGAGGTTTTCTCCAGTAGCGTAACTGGGGTAACCAACATTTTGCAGGGAGGTACTTAGGAGGCCCTCATTTTCGGCCTCATTTTCTGGAAGGGGTACGTAAGGATCTCATCACTACTTCGTTAAATCTCATGGAGTAAAAGGGAAAACACTGACCAAGGCGGACGATCACTATTCTATAATTTCTTAGCGGGAGGGGGGCACATGGGGGGGGGCGCTGGCATCTAGTAAGGGACCCCTGCTCCCGCGGTCCCTCTATGGTAGACACCCCACCGGGTTTATTTAGGTTGAAAAAAAATGAAAAGGTGTCAGGTCAGTTATGGGAAAGATCTCATACAAACTATGTTCATTTCCACTTAGCTTCCTAGGCCGTATATATAGCATTCTACATTCTTTTGGGGGGTTGGAGATACTAACAAATCGTATTTGTTTGAAGACCTTCATGGGTCGGTGGAAATCAGCAAAAACATATGGTTCATTGTAATTGTCAAGGCTTCCTAACACACAAGCCGTTCAGTCCATTATACGGAGCACGTTGCATTGTTGTAGTAATCGTTATTTACCTGTACTGAGCATAATGCAGCACGGCATTTTCCATTCTAATAAGAAAGACACGTTAAAACTTGAACCTTCATAATATCGTCTATTAGTTAAAACCCGTATTGCTTAAAGGCAACTGCTGTTAGATTCAGACTATGAGTCGTATAGATTCAGTAGTATACGTTTTTTGCCTTTCTGTTAAAATCTATACGACGCATAATAAGTCGAAGCAGCTTCAAAGGATATACACGTACGCGCGTTCATACACTTTCCAAATCCATGTTCCTATCGTTAATAATCCTAATGTCAATTCATATCAAGACTGTGCTGACTTTGAACGAGTAATTTTTTCTTGAAGAACCAGTCTGCATCATACTTTCGTCGCTATAGTTTCGCCTCTAAACACTCCCAAGCTGTGGTGTAAATTTGTGTCGGAATTCGGGGGGACAGAGGATGGGGAAAGGTAGGGGAGGCAAAGCATGAAAGTTTGAAAAGCGGGGGAGAGGTAACCCAATATGATTGTAATAGATATCGATGTTAATGATATTAATTTAATCTGTAATATGTATTCATAATGTTATATTCATGGGTTTAAATTTCTCCCTTTTTATGAGTGATCTTGAATGCATTTTATAGTCGTTGGAAGTCTGACAAATTCTTCACAACCAACATTAATATTTTGCTTACCACAAAAAGTGAGGGATGATTCAACAGCCCACCCCCCTAAAAAGTGGAGGGGGATATCACCCCCTCCCCGGATTTACGCCCGTGCTCCCAAGCTTTACAGAGTCAAGCAAGATCAAGGATATATTACTGACTCTTTAGCCTGTACATCAACGGGAAAAGGTGGGGGTACTTTCAACTTGCGCTTTCGGTACAAATGGAGAACATGAATAAGTGGTAGCATTTAGCAATTTAGAAAGATTGGAATCCTTTAAATTGCTTAGATTCTTAATTGCGAAATCTTTCAGGAAACATCGTTCACAGGAGGCTAGGATTTTAGGAGGTGAGCTCTGAATGAGAGCATCTGCACTCCAGAGCTTGAAATGCCAAATTAAGAAATGGTGCAGGTTTATAGATTTGGCCTATGACTATCACTTACCAGAGTCGCATCTTGCACCGGGAGTCCAAGCGACACGACCGCCTGACACAGGACACAAATCACGGAGAGAATCATGGCGGTATGTCCCGCAGCAACAGCTGCGCCTCGTGCAATCTCGGATCCTTTGAGTAGTTATTTTCTTCACAGGTTAAGAGGGACAAAATGTACGAGGAATATAAGTACATATAGTTACACTGCCACCGATTTAAACAGGAATATTTCACATCCCTGAAGAGTACATATAGTTGTATGTCAGAATATGAAACGCGATGCCAACGTCATGATAGGGCCCGGGCCTATTGATGTTTACACTGAGTCCATCTGCTTGTTTTACGAATTTGCAGGCGGTAGGCATACCATAGCGAACATGGACACAGCGTAGAGTATTATGCATGTGAATGGAACACATGACATGAACAAAAACTTATTGACTTTTGTGGCAGGCTTCGCCGCTTTCAATATCATCGTAGACGGCATGGACGATTTTTTAAAAATAATTTAGTCGCTGCATGAAACGCCATAATCGAACTTAGTTGGAAAAACTAACACTGAGTTGGACTAACTTATGTTCTCATGCATTGTGTTAATGTTCTGAAGGACGAGAAAAGGAACCACCATAAATGATTTTTACCTTTTTTTATTGTTATTATTATTTTGGCCCTATCTGTTGTTTTTCTGGAGGCCAATCAACCAAACTTTCTCAAATTTATCGAAACTTTCGCGACGCAATACTCTTGGGTCTTCAGAACAAAACAGTGGTCAAGAAAAAGTGAGACGTAAGGGGGAGAATAGTAGGCCCAGTGTTGAGGCCAACCAAAAAAGTCTCTTTATAAAGAAAGAATACATACGTTTCTTCCCCAAAAGGATTGGAATAACTTTCATACAATTATTTGATATTAAAGATGAATTAGTTTATTCCAACACACAGTAGTAAAACAAATCCTTAGAAGTGCTTTGTAACGGAACATTTTATTTTCTTATAATTCGTAGCAGTTGTTTTAAATGATGTTTTGCTTGAGATATAACGTGCGAAAAATGAGAGTCTTTCAAAATGATATATTGGAATTACCAGCCCGTGAAATTGAATGTTACCAATATGATCTCCGGTTCACATTAAAAAGAGTATAAACAACAATCTTATTCCTCTTTTCCCCCAAAAGTCCCACCTTTTGATTACTCAAACAGAAAAGAAGATTTAGGCCTACCGGTGGGTCGCCTCTGGAAATTGACAGGGTTTTCAACTCGGCTGTCAGGATGGGTATACGGCGTGGAACGGTCTTTGTGCGGTGTACAGAGCCTGGTGGATGTCACAGCAACGATACGGATCCAAATTCACATAACATGGAAGTAAATTATACGACAAAGGCATTACTTAACAGCACTAACACTGCCGGATTGCAAATCATTCACTGAGCTCAGTGTATAAAAAAAGAGAAACATGTACCTGCAGATTTGATCGACTTGGTACTTGAAAACCTGAATATTCATGCATGATCGGCCACTTAAAACAGTAACGTAGGCCTTGTTACTCGTTGCGAGTACCAGCATTAAAAAGAAACTCAGCTCGTATCGGCGCTAGCTGAATGTCTGGTTTACCGTCCACATTGGCAATGTCAAGAGCGCTTAATCCCGACGTACACGGCCCGTCCGACTCTCGGATTGCTAAAAACATGGAGGGAGGCCAACATACATGCTAAAAATGATGACAGCACCATACGTGTCGTTGGACTAGTTCGTACAAGCGTGACGTGTGGACGGACGGGGAGTTGCTAGAACAAGGGAAGCCAAAACTCGGGGTCATTGGGAAAGTTTTTAGCATTTTCTGCAAATGGAGGGAAATTCAGAGGGAACATGTGTAGGGTAAGCAAGCAATAATAGGGATGTCGAACATTAAAAGCAGGCCCCTCGGCCGCAGATTTGGCCGAAAGATGAAATGATTAGAAGCTACTGGCCACTGGGCTGCATGGCCTGTGGAGAAACAAGCCGGCAATGGACACCACACCTAATGCATTACCTATGGGCTAGCCTGTCTGCAACAGCAACGTAAAAATCTGACGTGGCTGTCCCCTGGAAGTTCTTGGATCCGCTCCGCCCATGCTCTCACACACATCCTTACATATGTATACTTGTGGGGTATTTCCTTTGTTCTCGTGTACAAAACTCGTACACAACACAGAAAAAAATTCAAATCGCTGCCATTTCGACCCAATTCCGTTTCCTGGGTTGAAATTTCAACCGTATGTCCCTTATATAAAACACTTCAATTTGCAACAAATGAATGACACTTGAAAATTCCTCCTTTTTGAGTAAATTTGAAATACTTATTTCGTGAAATTCTTGTGGGGTACCACTTTAGTACCCCACAAGGATCAAAACTGGCCTTGTGGGGTACCTTTCTCTGTTCTTGTACCCCAAAAGGCACCATGTACAAGCGCAGGGTTCCACACACCTCGCAGTCACACCTCATCATTACCAAGACCTTTGCATTACCTTTAACCGAAATGGATTAATTAAGAAAACAGAGGGTGCCATATTTACTTTGGCTGTTCGTCACTTTGAACGGAGCCAGGAACGACCCCAGTGAGGCCATTTTCCAATACTCAACTTCCACTGCATCAAAGGTTTCCTCTATGTTTTTTACCACCTGCCTTTGAGGTTGTTAGCTCAAAGGTAAGTCCAATAGGGCCACATAAATACCAAATGGAACGCAAAAGAGCAAACTATTACAGTACTTGAGTTAAATTTGAACAATTCAGGTCCACAATCGGAGATTGATTTGGAAACGAAGCCCCAGACGGAGACGAAGTCAGGCATTGGAAGGGCGACCCCAAAGTGCATGATGTCATCGCTATTCGTGATAATGGTGGCAGCCCTGACTCTTCTTGTCCTTCAGGAGGGAGGCAGGTAAAAAGGCCGAGAACTGCTTGCGTGTGCCAAATCAAGATTTGTATGCACTCAAATTCTCTACGAAATTGAGCATTTTGTGACCCATGAACTTAAAGATCTGTAGAAAAGGCAGGTTTTTAGGTGGGCTTTAATATGACTTGCGTCTCAAATGCCTGAGAAACTCGTGAGTTTTTCTCCAGATTTTTTGAAGTTCGGGTATTTATCACTGTGGCTGTGGCAGTTTATTGACTGGCCTGCAACCTTTCAGTTTCGCATAGCGCCCTCTGACCGTTCGATGGTTGGTGATCGCAGAATAAACTACAGGAAGGTCTGTGAACCTAGAAAACTTACGCCTTTGTTCCAAGTGATGCTTGTACATTTGATACAAATCTGCAACGTGTTCCCTTGTTACCAAATTAATTTCCTCCTAATTGATTCTTACTTTCAGAATGAATCAATCTTTCCCACTGACATGGGGTTTTCTCCTTTAATTTAAGCATTTCTTGTACGCGTTTGAAATTCAAATCCAAAACCCTCCAGTGGCTATTTTAGTAATATCACATTTACTTCAGAGTATCACTAACCCTATACTAGTTGAACAATTTGAAAAGAGGTGTGATCTTAAAATAGTTAGAAAGCTGTGACTGCAGAGATGTATTCAGGCTTGATTTGACCCAAAACAGAATCAGCCCTCAAGCATATCACAAAATAGTTATCGGGTAGACGAATCTGGTGACTGCAGTTACACAATCACTGGTCACTTGCAGTCTAGTCACTGATCTCCATGAAACTGAGACTGAATAGCATGTGCCGTTATCGCCGAGATAGACTAGCAGCAGCCAACGCGGTCTCTGGGGCTGGATGTTTTGGCTTCCAAAGATGGCCGCCAAATTGAATACATTCCGCACAGCAGAATGTGAATTGGTAATGTTTCAATATTTCAAGCAGTGTCAGTGGCGCAGTTAAAGAGGAGTCTCCTGGGGGTTTAAATCCCCAAGAATTTGTCTGTCTTAAAAATGAAGTACACCTCCATCTTAAACCACTAGCTCTAATATAACCGTAAATCCCAGTCCCCCCTAGCGCAACCAGTTGGGGAGCGGGGTTGAGCATCACGAGCTATTTCGGGGGTAAATTCTGGTTTTAGCGCCCCCCCCCCAACTTGTCACTGGTGGGTTACTAAATAATTTTGGGTTACAAATTTTGGTACATTTTTCATATTACCCATGGTGTGACCAAAAACTAACCTGAGTAAACGTGTTATGATCTCCAACACTCCCGACACAACAACCCAATGTGATTAAGAGTTTGATTGTCCAGGCGAAACTTAATCGAATAACTCTAAAATAGCCGGGGTGGAATCCCTTCCCTCCATATCATTTCCAGATATCACTGCAGTGCATAGTTTTTACGAGCCCAGCCTGCAGTTTTTAGTAAGTTATCGCAGTTGTTTTGACGTTAATTTTGTGAAAATTGACATAGGGTCTGCCGTTTTCGCGCTCATGGTCAAGCTTGAAGCCAAAAATATTTCCATTGTAGCCGTGCTCAATGCACGCGGGCCGCGCCGACACTCGCTTAGCCGGCCATGAACATCAAACGACCGTAACAACAATCTTACGTCAGATTGAATTGAAACTTTGGACCAATAAGGAGTGCCTTCACATGCACGACAATTTTTTTAAAAAAATCGGCTATAGGAAAGCTGAGTTCTTATATTAGGGGAGGCGGAAGCCGCCCCCTTCTGCTGTGAGTTGGTCCAAAATTTAGGGTTAAGGGCTTTTTGGTAACATTCGGCCTCCAAAGATGAAACCTTGTGGCGTCCATCCAGCTGGCATTCGGTCTTGGTGTGCTATCCAGTCGGTATCACTGTTTGCACGGTTGGCCCCACCGTGGCAGAAAGCATACTGTGATAACTAATGTACTGCGCCACTGTCACTCCTACAAAAAACCCCACAATGCTTTCGCCGTCAAAGAGGGCCACCGAAGCATCATATGTTTCCTGACACAACCCCAAGCCTAAGCCCCTCTGGATTGGTAAATAAAACTCTAAATCTAATCCAAGTGACTTGCTAAGGGACGCAATACCTGCCAAACGACGGTGCTGCAGACACACAAAATAAAAGGCCCCGTAAGTAGAAGCATTTCCAGAATCCTAAATCTTAACCCGAAACCTTGCCCCGTTTCTTGTACTTTAGTGATGACCTATCCACAAAAACCATGCAATCTCACCCTAATCTTAACCCCCACTCCAATTCCCAATAAAATCTTTATTTGTGAAATAAGCAGGGGTGGATCCGTGAATTGTTCAATGTCTCACTTTTGCCGACAAACCCCGTAAACAACGGTTTTTTGTTTTTGGTCTCAGAGCGGGGGATCCGTGCCTGATAAACGCCCACACCAATAAGGGGGCGTGTTCTTTTCCTGAGGTCCAAAACTGTTGTCCGTTTTTTAACCCAAAGGGTACAGTCCACTCATTCAAGCCCCATTGAAAAAAGTGTAACAACAGCACTGTTCAATAACATGCATACCCATTACTCGGACACTCTCGATAGAAGCGACATTAAATTGATTGTACACGGACCATCGGTACCGATGGTCCGTGTACAAACCAGAATGGACCAATAAGGAAACAGCGCCCATGGCTTGTGTACTGCCAGAACGTAGCCAATAAGAGTGCCCATGCTCACCTTGCTCCACACCCACAGTGGCCTTCACGATCCAGAATCACAAGCACACAAAAAGCGGGATGCTGACCACAGGGTTTTACGAGCGCTGTGACTGCATGTGTTTTGTGAATTACCACTGCACTGACCTTCAAGGCGGTGGCTTGGTTTGTCAAGCACCCGAATATTCAAACATAAAATTCAGCAAGAGTAAGGAAAAATGAAGAACAGTGCAGTGGGGGAAATTTGCAAACTGCCTGGTGGAATTCGCAGCAAAACGAAATAGAGTAGTGCACACTTATTAAATTGGCTGTAAGGCAACAATATTGAATAATTGGCTCCCCGAGAATGTACACCTGCATGCGCTTTTAATTTTCGAACTGAACAATGTATTGTATGGCGAAACTGAACCATTGCAAACTAGGTATACTCTGTTGATTCCACTGGGCAACACAATATGAGAATCCAGAAAGACTGATAAAAATCATGTTCATTGAATATTTCATTCCTTATTCAGAACATCTTCAGGAA